GGATCATTAATAGCTGAAATGAACAGATCATCTTTCAGTTTTACACAGACAGATAGCCTGGGTCTGGCTTGTTCATTGTGGTCTGTTTGAATCTGTTGGAAAATAAAGAAACCCCTACATTTTAGAGAAAATTTCCAAAAGGCGCTGTCAGCAAAATAAGGCAGGAAATTTGTCTTGGGCCCCGCCATCTCTTCTTGTCTCTCCCCTTCTGCAGCATTCCTCACTCAAAACTCTTCTAATTTCCCCCTCGAATAGGACTGATATTAATTTAGAGAATTATTGTTGCTTTTTTTTCCCTCAGGAATCAAAACCTCCTCAGTATCTAAAGGAATAATCTTTTTAATGGTCGGAGTTCAACTTAGCTTAATATGTAGGAAAATACCCTGATAGGCTTTACTGAAACCACATCATGAACCCTATTTTCAAACACTACTATTTAGTCATTTCTTAAATCCTTATACTTTCAAATGAATAGTTGGCTTCTTCTTTAAGAAATTGCCCCGGTAGGAAAATTGTTTTGGTGTTGCTATTTTTTTTTTGTCCTTTTGATTTTGAGTTGCTGATCTTTGTCACTGTTTTTCCCCTATTGTGTCACAGTGGGGTTTTTTTTCCCCCTTTCCTTAGTGTAATTTATAAAAGCAGATTACAATGGCTCTGATGAAAGAGGTCCCTTGAAAAGCTTGTTTTGTGATTGGGAATCGTAAACAAGACCTCCTGTGCACTTGCCTCACATCAGTAGATGGCAGCACACACTCTCCTGTGAAGGGTAGTGGGTGTGGAGACGCCATTTTATTTGAACCGCAGTTCAATCCAGAGGCAGGAGCTCCTCAAAATGGCTGTCTTTTGGTAATCCTCATGAAAGGATTTATTTCCAGGTTTGTTGTTTTTTTTCTTAACTCTGCATTCCAAGGAAATAAAGGTTGAGTAATTTACTACCATAAAACCTCATTAACTGAGCCCTGCCAATTGAAATTGATCATAATTCAGAAAGTGGCTTGCACTGAAGCTTATTTGCTTTTGCTCAGTCTATGGAAAAGAGTTTGCTCAGCAACTTAATAGTATAACTTTCTTAGAAGACTATAAACTCCTTAATAAAATGATGGTTTCAAGTAACTTTAAATTGTCATTTCGTTACCAAAAAAAAAAAGAAAGAAAGAAAAAGGTCCAGGCCCTTATCCATTAATAGCTGACTTGAATAGGGATAGTTCTCAGTGATGTAGAAATCTATAATACAATTTGAAAGGTGAAGTGGCAATTCAGAAATTGTTAAATTGGTGGCATTCTATAGATGTAACTCAAGTAAAATATGTTCTCCAGCCCCTGTCTTAAAATATGGGGCATTTACAAAAGGAAATGCCTAATTTTATTTGAGTTCAATTCAACAGACAGTTATTGAGTAACTAATGTATTTCTCACACAACATTGTTTGAGGAGGTGCTGAGGATACAGAAATGAATGAGACCTGACTCTTGTCTTTAAGACATAGTCTATAAGGGGACGTCAAATATATAGAGATGGATACATGGTGTATTAAGTATAGAGAAGCAGAGTAAGTGCAAAGGTAAGAGAGACAGAAAGAGAAAGAGAAGGTACAGTAGAATAGAGAAGGGGAATTATTAACTTTATTCAAAAAAATCAGGGAAGGCTTTCTAGGAGAGGCACCATTGAAGCTGAATTGAAGCATTAATAGGAACTTGAAAATTTAAGAAGGATGTTCCAGGCAGGAGAATAGCAAGTATAGAAGGTATACACCCGGGAATGCTAACTTATTCAATATCACTTGAATATAAAATTGGTGGTAGGTGGAGGGATCAGAGTCTTAAGAGAGGAAGCTCAACGGTCAAGCAAGAGCTGATCATGAGCTGCAATTTGTTATGGTCAATGCAGTGAGGGTCGAGTGGGGAAGTGGTGGAGAGGAGATGGAGAATGAAGCAAGAGTCAGATATGAAGAGCCTTGCACTCCATGCCAAGGAGTTTGAGCTTTACCCTGTAGGTGTCGGGGGGAGGGAGGGGAGCTTGGAGGACTCCTGAACCAGGGAATCACTTGATCGGGTTTGCACTTAGAGCATCCTGCCGGAGGCAGGTGTAGATCGTGGACTGGAGTGTGAAGAGGCTGGACGTTGGGAGTACAGTGAGGAGGCTGTTGGAACAGCCCAGACAAAAAACAATGAGGGCCCAACTAGAATAGTAGGAACAAGGGGAAGGGACAGATTGACGAGGTCTCTAGGAGGTAAGCAGATACAGGCTCAGGACTTGGTGGACAGCTGCATGGGGGTAGTGAAGGTGAGGGATGAGTCAGAGCTAACTCCCAGATTTCTGACTTGGGCCAGAGAGTAGACAGATGGTAGTTCCATGGACTAAGATTGGAAATGGAAAAGAAAAAGAATTTTAACAACTCACATACTGTATACGTCTTATTTAATTTCACTGAAACATGGACTTCAGTTGTAAAAAACAAACCACCACCCCCACCAACAACAATAAATCTAACAACTTGATGAACAGTCCAGGACTGAAACATTTATTTTTTTTTTTTTCAAGGTATACCATCTACTGGTTGGTGTGAATTAACACCAGGTATTGTTTGTAGCACGCAGTTTAGCACTTGAATACATACTTTCTTGTCCTCAGTCATTTGGTCAACAAATATCCATTCAGTGATGGCCATTGTTCCAAGCACTGAAGTTACAGGGATGAAAAGACAAGGTTCCTGCCCTCAAGAAGAAACATGAGAATCTCATTAGAGGAATCAGAGAAGAATTCATAAAGTAGGATGACTTGAGATAATGTTTAAGTAATAAATAGGAATTCATGGGTTAGGTAAGAAAGGGAAAGGGAGAGCATCTGCAAAGACATAAGCCTTGGATAATGATAGCATTACTAGGATTTAAAGTAGGAGGGATGGAGAGTAGAGGAATTATATGAGATTAGTCTGGTTAGGTAGGAGTTGGTTGGTGCTAGATGGTAAACAGCCCTCTATGCCAGACTAAGAAATTTTAACTTGAATATGTACCCAGGACAGTCTTGGTTTGTGAATTACATGGTTACGCTATTCCAAAAGCACTGAGGAAGGTAGAGAAGATAGAGTGTTGAGGGTAGGTAATGATGAGTGCAGTTGTTTGGACAAGAGATGTTAAGGGCCTGAACAATGGCACTGACCATGGGCATGAAAAGGAGGGAATGAATAACAGTGACCATTAGGACGTAGAATCTACAGACCTTCTCTTGATTAGTTCATGCTGTAAATCTTATCCTACTGACACTACACTTCTTTGAAACAGGGGCCATGATAGTAAAATATGACTCAAAGGTAATGATACTGATACGTTTGCTTAAAAAAAAAAAAAGAAAGGAGAGCCAGAGGCATCCAAATAAATGATTCCCTTTGAGGTGGTCCACTTGAGAATCCAAACCTGTATTCCCATGATGCTGCTATGCCCCAGAATTTTTCTGCACCTATTTGAGCACTGTGTTGAAGAGTCAATGGCACTTCTTTTAGGTTTGTTCTGAGTGGTGTATTCATCCTCTGAGTACTGGATTTGCTCTTTTGAAATAACAAAACCAGTATTTGTTTCCCAGAGCCAAATATGATAAATTAATGTTTTTCTTGCGTGGTTTATAACCTTACTCTACAATGTTTGGAACAGTCTATAGGAACACAAAGTAGATTGGCAGTTGCCTGAGGGTGGGTAGGGAAGTCGGGGGAGGGGTGGATGAAGAGTGACTGCAAACAGGTACAGGGTTTCTTTCTGGGGTGACCAAAACATCCTAAAATGAGATCATGGTGAAATTTAATAAACTTGCACAACTCAAAAAATTTACGAAAAGCCATTGAATTGTACACTAATTTTTTTTCTTTCTTTAAAAAGTACTTGGCACTGCTCTTGCTGCATCCCACGTAATTTGATAGGTTGTATTTAATTTTCATTTAGTTCAAACTCTTTTTACATTTCTCTTGAGGTATCTTCTTTCACACATCTTATTTAAATATCTTGGGATTCTCCAGTCATCTTTCTGTTATTGATTTCTAGTTTGTATCCATTACGATTAGAAAAGGCAGTTTGTATGGTTTCGATCTTGTAAAATTTGCAAATGCCTGTCTTGCTGTCTAACATGTGGTCTCTCCTGGAGAACGTTCCATGTGCACTTGAGAAAAATGTGTATTCTTCAGTTGTTGGGTGACGTGTTCCATAAATGTGTTAGCTCCAGTGGATCCATAGTGTTGTTCACATTCTCCATTTCCTTGTTGATCTTCTCTCTGGTTGTTCGGTCTATTAATTAAAGTCTCCGATCATTTGTGCTGCTGTCGATAGCTCTCTTCAGTCTTGTGAGTGTTTGCTTCATATATTTGGGAGCACTGATAAATTGTACCCTCTAAATGAGTGAACTTTATGGTATGGAAATCCTATTACAATGAAGTTACAAAATGTGTGGAGTGCAGGTAGGGTCCTGGGTTTGGGGATGTAGTTTTCAGAAAGCATGAGTCTCATTGCTTTATGAGTCAACTTTGTTCTTTATTAGATCCCATCACCCTTAGCACAGTACTGGGTACATAGTCATGGCTCAAGAGATATTTGTCCAGCAGAACTGAATGTAGTGTAGGGCTCAATTTCACTCCAATTCAGAGAAGATAGTGATTTTATTAAATAGTTCATACAAGTTCTTAGATGTTTTTATCTCCTGATCTACAGTGTCCTTTTATGGGAACTTTTTATAAATGTTGAGTTGTGTCCAATCCTTTTTGTTTCCCAAACATCATCAATTTTGAATATAAAAGCATGGGTTATTACTACTATTTTAATTGATACAGTACTGTTTGTTACTTTAATAAAATGTATTTTAGCCATATAAATTATAGAAATTCCATGGGAATATTGCTCTAATGTTTTATTTGTCACTGACTCTGGCATTGTAATTTTTAGTATTAAATAAAGGGAAATCAATCAATTAATTTAAATCTCTCTCTCTCTCTCTTCCTCTCCCCCTGCCCCCAAACTCAGGAAGCATTGTGAGTGTCGGTGACCCAAAGAAAAAATACACAAGATTTGAAAAAATAGGCCAAGGGTAAGTGATTGTTACTTAAAATATCAAAAGATAAGCACCAGAGATATACATTCAGATTCAGTAACAGCCTGGGTTATAGTCATGTTTTGCATTCTCAATATTGGGCTTTCTAGCTGACAGACTGTTAATTAATCTAGCAACACATCCTGCTGGAATCTGCACTAATGTCGGGCCAAGGGCGAATTGTTTAAGGATATTTGAATCCCACATAGTTAGAAGATTCAAACTGATTTCTCTGGAAAAGCCGTAGGGTTATAGAAACCTCTAACTTGTATGAAAACCCCCTTTATCCCTGTCCCTACTACATCCGTACGGATGTTAGGCTTCAGATCCTGTTTCATTGTCAAACTATACAGTGACAGAGTGGGGGCAGGGGAAGTCCTTACCTCATAGTCCAGAGGGGGGCAGAGTTGACTCTTCAAGTAAGGAGGAAACAGATCAATAATCCCTAAGTGAGAAGGAGTACATCATTTTCACTTAGCGTGCTCGCTAAGAATAAAGATCCCCAGGCCCGGCTGCCAGAGATCTGATTCAGAAGTCTGGAGTAGGGCCCAGGAATCTGAACTTTGGGAAAATTCCTCCGAAAATCCTGATCCTCAGCAAGACAAGGGAACCACAGGGCCGGATCATTCACTAGAGCTAAAGGTGGAAGTCATCCGTTCTCTAAGTCAACTGTAATTAGGCATGTTTCTCAGATCTCAGTGTGAAACTGAGAGTGGGCTACCATGTTTGAAACAGGGAAACATTTTGTTTAAAATCAAATGAAGTGTTCTTAAGAGGCGTCCTTAAATGGGGAAGGAGGCACATACTTAGATGCATCAACTACTGTATGCCAGGAACCAAGATGGTAGCCCAGAGGTCTCCTGGCTGAGAGGAAGGGATACAGCTAATGTTCCTACGGAATTATGCTAGCCCTTCAGCCAATGGAGTCTATTTTCAGATAAGGGAATGGACAATTTCTTCTTTGGGTACTTCACTGTTTTTCCTTGGATTCTTAGGTTCAGAAAATTGTATGTTGTACATAAGCTTGACGATTTTTCATGATTTTTATATTTTATTTATTTTTTCCCGCTAGCTTTGGCACTGAAGTTTCTTTTGAAATTGCCGACTTATCTCACAAAATAAGGGAAAGCATTCATTAGATATTTTGGCCAGGGGGTAAGGGTCTTGGGGCACTTGTGGGGAATGTGCCTGGTTTCTTTCTTATGGTAAGAAAACCAGAAGAGGGAGGGAGAAACTCAGGGAGAAATAGATGGCCAAGTTTCTTCTTCCTGTGGAAACCATAAAGCTGTTGCATTTGAACTTTCTAGGGGTTAAAATATTTGTGCTTTTGCTTCTTTCTTTGTCATTTGATATCAGTGGTATTCTTACTTGCTCATGGGGGATAAAAAAAAAAAAGAGTTTTTAGTCCCTAGGGACCCCTGTCACCTAACCGGTCAAATAGTATTTCTGCCGATTGCTCCAGACTGGTGCTATCTAAACAGAACTTTCTGTGATGATGGAGATGTTGTCTATTTGTGCTGTCCTATGCAGTAGCCAGTGGCACGTGTGGTTATGGAGCACTTGAAATGTGTCTGATGCAAGCAAATGTGAGAAACTGTATGTATTTAAATTAATTTATTTGTTTATCACACATTTATTGAGTGCCAGCTCTGTGCCAGGTACTCTTCTAAAGGCTGGAGAGACAGAGATGGGTAATGATGTGGGCCCTCAAAGAACTTAGAGTCTATAGTGGTAAACACTTGACAGAGGGATACATTAGGGTACAAGGAACACACTGAGACAAGTCTCCCTCACCTGAGTGCAGGGCAGGGCTGACTTCTGTAGCCATTATTTCCCACCTGGAATTTTCCTTCTTAACTTCTGGTGGACTGGTTGTTTTACTTAAGTAAGGAAGCCATACCTTCTCCAGTCCGTATACACATACATACACCTCAGCTCGCTTTCTTAATGCCCAAAAGGTGAACACCCCAAGGCCAGTTAAAACAACACAGTATTCAGGGAGCTTGGAAAGCAAAAGTTGCCTTTTATATTTTATTGTATTCTGGTTGGGTTTTTGGTGGAGCTAATAATAGGAAGGGATACACAATCCACAGAGAAGCAGCATTTCAGATTGTAGCTGTCCAACATGGTAACCGTGTGACCATTGAGCACTTGCAGTGGGGCTAGTCCAAATTGAGATATGCTACAAGTCTAAAATATGCACAATTTCAAAAACTTAGGAGGAAAAAATGATGCAAAATAGCTCATTAATAAATTATATACTGGTTACATGTTGAAGTGGTATTTTACATGCATTGTGTTAAATACAATATATTATTAAAATTAATTTTATCTTTTAAACTTTTTAGAATATAGCTCCCCCCAAATTTAAAATAGAGGTCACCTTATATTTCTAAAGGGCAGCACCACTCTAGTTGTAGGTCTAAATGGGAGCTATTTGTTTATTTTTTCAAAAAAGTAGGTTTGTTTCAGGAGTTGTTTCTTGGGGAGTGGGAAGTAGGAGATGTTATAATTTTGTTTTGAGTGTTCTTTCCCACTAAGACCCAACTGAGCCAAAAATAGCATTGAATTTAAAAAAGAAAAAAGTAAAAGATGGTTTCAAATATCTCCCAGATACCCAGGTAATGAAGCAAGACTGATTTCTCCAAGAACAAAGATTAGGCCGCCAAGCAACTTGGCATACCAAAGAGATTTCCCCTCCTAGTTATTTATGCCTCTGATCTCTGAAGGTGCAAAAGGAAAGTTCTGTATTTCTCCATAACTCTGTAAAACCTTTATAATCTAAATTGAAAAGTCAAAGCAGAAATCCTGCCTGCCACTGTGGAAAGGTCTGTTTTAAATTCCCAGCTAGTTCATCATTTTAAAGAATGTTGAAACCAGTAGATAGTTCACTCATATGCCCAATTCAACTTTTAAATAAGTCCTTAGAGGGTAGGGAGTCTATTTTATTCCTCCCTTTGTCTCCTTTGGTATCTAGCACAGGGCTTTTTTACTTAGTAGCCCCCTCCCTCCAAAAAACAAAGGAAACAATTTTGTACGATTTCAGTCTACAGCAAGAGTTTACTTGGCCAAGGTCAAAGATCTACAGAGCTTCTCCTGTCTGCCTCTCCCATCTTTCTGGATCTGTTTTTGCCTCAGTAAATATTTGTGAAACAAACAAGAAAATGTTTGTCTTTCTAGCTCTCCTTTTAAAACCTCTGTCCTGTCTTTTCATGTGTATATACCTGTCTGTATTGCTCTTTCTGTCCTCTTTCCCTATTTCCCTATCTCTTTCTCTGTCTTGGTGTGTCTTCATCTCTTCCCATAATAACTTGATCTGATTCCTTATCTTTTGGGTACTTGTGTGTGCTGCACGGCTGTCTTTTTCATTCGTGTTGGCTTCACCTTGCACTGCCCATTTTCACACACACACTCAACCCAAATGGTTGCAATATAAAATCAAGATGCACGTCTAAAGAGCTTTTAAGATATAATATAGTAACTGAAAACTACTTATTTACTGTGCTTGTATTTAATTTACTAATTTTGGTTTTGTGTTTTTAGTAGATTTTTGCTCTCTGTTCTTAATTTCTAAAGTGAGTGAGCAAAATATTGATTTCTCTCTAGACCAAAAAATGAGAACCACTTACATTAATTTTCCTTTTACTTAAATTGCTCTCAATGGATTTTTCCATGAATTACTGGCCTAAATTAGACAAACTCGCCTCTGCTTTCAGTGTATAGAGTTTGTATTTTCTTTTCATTAAGTCCGGATGTTTTTTATTGTTTTGCTTTACCTATTATGATGGTGAAAATCAAACCTGTGTCTGTAATCATTTGGTGCTAGGAATAATCAGGCCCCATATTCCATTTTCAGCTTCAGGGAGCACAGCAGCTTACTCTTGGGAGCCGGATTTGAGAAGAACCTCTCCATTAATCACCCTCATCTACTTGGAAAACTAAAATTTTCCAGTATGGGTTTCTGCCATCCCAGCATTCAGGCCCGGGGCCAGAGAATTGGCCTCCATCTTCCATAAATCAAGTTCAGAATTGCATGTCTAATCATTTGAGGCCATAGCTGAGAGTCGAAGGCTAAAAATGACATTATTTCACCAGATTTCTGTGAAAAGACTTCTATAATTGGCCACCAAATCTAGATATTTTGAGCAGATGTATGTAAAGTTTAAAAAAAAGGAAAGGAAGAAAGTAAAAAGGCCTGGCATCCTCCAAATCATCATTAACAACATGAGTTTGTCAGAAATCAACCTGGCAAAGCCTATCTAATTCTTGCAGGAGCGGTAGCCACGAGATTGCAGAGGGCTGAGTTTACTAACGTCAGCAGCGGACCTCACAGATTTCTCATTAATATATGTGAATTTGTTTTTAAGACCTTTTCTTACAAGGGAATGCACTGAAAAACAGACCCCTTTTCTCTTTCGCTTTCATGTTTGCTCTCTCTTCAACATTGTAATAGACAAATATTTTTGAGGATGCAACCTGGAGATGGTTTGGATCCAGTTTAAGGAGTGACTTGTTTCATTTGGTGAAGTTTGACTGAGTGCCTGCTATGTATAATGCACAAAACATAAAATCGTAGTTAAGAACCAGCTTCTGAAAGTCACAGTGAGCCTAGGGCTCACTGCCTTTCGGAATATCCAACGGGGAGAGAAGGAAAGTTGTATCGAGAAATAAGCGGGGGACCCCCCCCAAATGCATATACTTTAATTAATTTCTTAGAGTGTCTGTTTTCTCATCCATAGTAAGCAGAAGATACATACCTCATCAGGTTGAGGGAAGTGAAGGAGGGGAGGCATTTCAGGTGCTCAGCACAACATGGCACATAGCGAAGGGCTCAGTAAATGCTAGGTATCATTAGAGGTGAAAGACACCCACAGTTACTATTCGATAGAGCAGAATAGGGCAGGTAGCATAACATAATTACGAAGAGCCATGGGGATGGAGAAGAGGGACGGACCATTTATAGCCAGGGAGAGGGTATGATGAAGGATCCTTAGAGA